CTTTCACTTTAGAAAGTTTTCTTGACTTCTGGTTAACAGGCTGTGGCTTTCCGCTCTTGTGCCTCACGGTGATCTATGAGGATGCGAGCGGGAGTGATGTGTAAGCACCTGTGCTAGTCTACTTAGTCTCCCAGAATTTCTGCTTCTCATACTTTTATTTCCTCCTCTTTGCCTTCTGGGTCTCCATCACTCACCCAAGACCAACAGCTTTGCTTGAGTTTTGGGTTTCTTCCTAAGTTCTCCCCATCCAGTGTTGAGATTGTTTTTTTCTAACTTGGAATTATGTTCCTCTACAACTTAAATTGCTTCTCGGTGCCTTTTAATTTACTTGAAAGGATTTTACAAATCTTCTTCAGCGTACGCCCCAGCATGCTGCAAGATGTACTGGCATATTCTGCTCCCTGGGTTTCCTCTGTAACGCTGCATAGGAAGGACCCTGATCCTTCCTATTGTCCATCTTTACTGAGCTGGTTGACAGTGCCCGTTAGGAGAGAAGGCTTCCAGCTGCCCTCACTCTGAAAAACACACACACGATTTTCTATGCTCCGTGGTCTTCTGGCCTTGGGAGCTCATACTCTGTGTACTGAGGGGCGTGATGCCTACACATACGCAGCTATGCCTTCTTGCTCCTTCACTATGCCACCCCACATCAGTTCCTGCAGCTTCTACTCGATCAGGCCCTCATTCTTACTCTAGAAGAACTCTGCACGCATATACTGCTAGACCAAATGAGTGGCCTCAAGCTATTCAGAGACTGCTGGTCTGTTATCATCAGCTACTGACTTCCTGTTTCTTCTTATGTGATACTGAGGCCTCTCAGGTGCCAGTGGTTTTGATGTACTTGCTCATATTTGGGAGTCTCCAAGGGACCCTGATGTTTGCCTAAGGGTACTTACTTCTGCGTATATTTGGTCTCCCCTATAAGGCAATGTAAAGACATACAACATCTGAGGCAGCTTACTCCATCTTTCAAGATTTCTCATCATAAACATAACATTCCAAGAAATCAGAATTTCTGGGTGCTGTAAAGCACTTTCTGGTTGAAAGGTTGACTTCTCCTACCCTGGAGGAAGGTAAATGCTGCCCCAGAATCCACTGGCTCTGAGAAGTCACTTTAAAAAATCAAACCTAATAGATCAGAGTAGTACTCCGCAGTGGCAACTATCTCTCCTTGTTTTGTTTTGGTTTGTTTTTAATTATTAGTTGAAAAATATCAAACCTGCAGAACAGCTACAGGAATAGAAATGAGAAACCACAGTCCCTTCACCAAAAGCACTAGTGTTCAATAATTTGATGTGTTTACTTTCTATATTCATATTCACACCATCTTTTCCTATCAGAGAAAGAGCAAGCATAATTACCTCTGTCCCTTTGGTAGCTCGGAGTGCGCTTCCTGAGAAGCCCTTCATCTGCTGTGGCCTCATTATCGCTTTTCATGCACCTGTCATTGACACAGCAGCATCACCTCACCCTTGTACACATCCTATTTCCCCACTGTCTCAGAACTGGGATGCAATTAAGAATTATACAAGCCTATGACCAATGTATTTCTTCAACCTCAGCTGACTAGGAGCAGTTTTCCCATTTTCTTTTTTAAAAATCAGGAATTGTAGTAAATCTTACTTATAGAATTGTTGGAAATTTTAAACAGGAACAGATCTATTGGCACAGTAACATCAGTAACTTGGGTAACTGAGGCAGAAGAATCACAAATTCAAGGAGGCCTTCCTAGGCAACTTAGTGAGACCCATCTCAAAATTCTTAAAGAAAATTTTTTTTCAAAGAGTAGGGACATACCTCAGTGAGGCAGCTCTTACCTAACATCCACAAGGCCCTACAGCCAATCCCCAGAAGTCCTCCTCTGATAAAACAAACAAATAACAAGAACAACCACGAAGTGGAAAGTCCATTTGGATCTGACGGGGCTCAATAGCCATTGTGCCTCTTCCCATCTGTCTGCGGCCCACGCTAACTCCAATATTGCAACTGTGAAACATCTGTATTCATTGTTGTGAGCTCACAAAGCTGCATCTAATTTCAGTACCCATGGCTAATGTGAGTTCATGCCTGAGAAAGAAACTGAGTCCAGTTCCACGTTTCTGACACTGTCAGCTTAGGAGCCACAGGGGTTTTTCTCCCAGCTCCCAGGGGCAGTAATCAGTCTCTGCTATGAGCTTTACAGCTGTCTCCAAACAAAGGCTGAATGGCATGAGGGTAGGCAGCCTCTCAGAACTTCAAGGAGTGCTGTGTGTCCCACTGCTGGGTAAGGGTCTCTGCCTTGTTCTGTGACTGCTGTGCAAACAGCCTGAGCAGCCACAGACCAGTGTCAGCAAAGATGTGTCCTCATTAACAACCATGTTGCTACAGCTAACTGAGGAGGTATTAAGTCGGCCTACATTTGCAAACCCCTAGGAAACCATAATTCTAGTGCTGATTTAATTCTATTTTACCAGATCAAAGCAGTTTCCCCAGATGACAAATCCCAAACTGCCTCAGCCTACTGTAAACAAAGGCAGGAGCGCAGCTGATCAATCATCAGGGAAGTAGCTGGTCAAAGAAAACTGCCATCATATTAATTTCCTGCATGTATTAATGTTATTAATAATTTTACAGAGGAATTTCTTACAGAGCTTCGGGGATGGCATTTCAACACTGGGGTTGGGGAGGGTGAAAACTTCAGGAGGGGAGTGATGGACACAACTCACAGCCCAAATCCTTAATGCTTACGGCGAGGGTAAGGAATATGGGGTCTCAGTGGGGGCAGTGTCTTCACAGCATGAAGTAGACAGCAGAGCTCTCATTTCCAATGTATGACGGACAGCACCTCAAGAAGATAACTGTCTGCAGGCCAGGAGGAGAACCCTCACTAGGAACCAAACCTGCTGGACCCTAGATGCGAGCTTCCCAGGCTCCCAACTGTGAGAAATTTCTATGGTGTATGACGTCTACAATGTTTAGTTAAGGTGGCCTAGGCTGAGAGAATGACACCGTGATTTTTTTACATGGCAACTGGTTCAGCAAAACAACACGGCAGTTCATTTCTGTAACCTTTGCACACAGACCTGAGATCACCAACAATTCCGAAAAGATGGCTTTGCGGGGACATTCTTCATAAGAATGAACATGAGCACAACCTGAACCCCAAAATGAGGGGACGTGCAGGGAAGACAGACTTTACACCATAACATTCCTTGATCCCTTCACAGCCTAGACGTAGGGCTGAAGGCCTTTGTTCCCATTCCAAAGCAAAGAGACAGAACATGGGTGAGTGACAGGCAGGGTAAGGAGCAAGAGCAGAAGAGTGGGGTCTGTCTCTGCTTAAGTAGATGGGATGGCCTTGCTGCAAGGAGATGTTTGGTCTGGGACCTGCAGGATCCAATGCAGGTCATGCAAAGCTGGGGAGCAGAGCCACTGGGTAAGCCAGTACAGCAGGAGAGGCCCTGCAGAAGCAGGCCGAGTAGACAGTCATGGGCCAAGCTCAGCAAGCTGGAGACTGCTCACAGAGGGCAAGATGTGAAGGTAATTTCCCATGACAGGAGAATGAAACCCTTAACTCACCTCCTGATTGCTCTCATCCAACACAGGAGCATTAATATTTGGGATTGCAGGGAGAGGCTGACCTCAGACAGAGTCCCAAGGCTGAGGAGACGCTTCAGTGGTAAGAGTCTTGCAGGGTAGGCAAGCCCGGAGCCCCAGTCCCCACCCAAACCTGTAATTCTAACAGTGAAGGCAGAGGCAGGTGGAGTCCAGGGACTTGCTGACTAGCCAGGCGAGGTAAAATGACAAGATTGGGGTTCAGTGAGAGACCCTTTCTCGGGAGACCAGGACAGAAAGCCATAGAGAAGGGCACTTGAAATCCTGCTCTGGTCTCTACATGTTTGTTCACAGATACGCACATGTGCACATACAAGCACATACACAACATACAAAGAAGCATCAGAAGTTCATTTCCAGAGAGAGAGAGAGACCGCAGAGACCAAGGCCACTGTACCTGCTGCCACACTTGGGACTTTTGGGGGCCACTCCCAAATAAAGCAAGCTGAATCTAAGTTACAATCCACATCTACAGGATCCCAACCACTCATTCCTGTAACAGATGCTACGAACTCCTACCGTTCCAAATCCTCACAGCCCTAGAAATAGGATTGAAATAACTCACAAGTTAGGAGAAACAGGCACAGGGTTCAGGCAGTCATCCCAGTGGAGACTGAGTCCACTGCCTCTAAGCAATAGTTGTGTTGAATCCCTAAAACCCAAAACAACTGTACACCTTGAGCAGGTGGTGGTGGGTAAATGATGTCATAAGGCCAGGGTCCTAATTCAGGTCCCTAATTCAGGGGAGCAGCCTTTCTACAAACAGGGACGGAGCATGAGAGAGAGAGTCTCTCTGTACTATACTGGCTATGTGGTCAGAGCCAGAAGATGACCATCTGTGAACCAGGAAAGGGACCCGAAACCCTGACCTCGTCCTCTGGTCCACAAGGAATAAGGGGCTGGTGTGTAAGCTGTGTCATCCAGGATCTTTGCAGCAGCAGCCCCAGCCGACTCATGTGCCCCACCAGGCCTCCAATGTCTGGATCCAGGCTTCATAACTTAGTGTAAGGAATCTGTGAGCTACCATGCCTGGTCAGTCTGTCCTCCTGCTGTGAACAGTTACCACTGCCCCAGACTCCTATACAAACTGCTAGACTCTGCGGGAGCTCTTTATCATAGCAGCTGCAGTTACACCGAAACTGTGGCAATTCTTACATCCCTCGAATTGAAGATGGACTCCCCGCAAATGACAACAGAACAGTCAAGAGCAGGGATTTAAAGAAACCGTCTCGCTGAAATACACTCTCATTGCTTCCAGACACACACACACGGTAACTCACTGCTAAGGGGGCCACCAGAAGCCCAGGCAGAGGAGCTAATGACTGGCAAGTAAAGGGCAAGATGCACACAGCACTGAGCAGCAGGATGGGACAGCAATGAGAACACTGGCATCAGGACAGGCTCACCATCACTCAGGTCCTGGAGGAGGTTCTCCTGGCAGGAGAAGTCCAGCTTTGCCTTGATGTTGATGGTGAAAGTAGCCACCTTCCCGGGCTGCAGAGGGAACTGGGCCAGCGTTTCCTCCAGTTTCCAGCTCAAGAAGTCCCCGTACAACTTTTCTGCAATGAGAGCACAGAAGTAAGGAGGATGTACTCTGGGCAGCGTGAGACTTACCTGTCCCCATCAGAGAGACAATGGCAAGTAAAGAGCTATGACTCCACGGTGGACCAAGGGGTAGTGCCTTCCAGAATCACAATGACCATGAGGCACTGCAAAGCAACTGCCCATGGAGCGACAAGGCAGAGGGAAGGTGGAGAGGGTCACCAGGCAGCTTTACCCCTAGTGAGCGGTTCCACCCACTCAGTGAATTCTGTTGCCTAGGAGGACAGCTCTGCCTAGGAGGGAGCAGAGATGGTGGTGCGAGGTGCAGGGGGCGGGCACGTGAAGGACAGGCTCTCCCTGCCTTTATCAGCAGTCCACCTGTCTGAGGGTCCAGAGCTGTAGAGAGAAGCAGCCGTGGGCTTGCCACGCTTTTGGCACTCAAGTGCCACAGAGACCAACAATCTCTTCAAGCCAAGGTTCCTGTGCATCAAATGGGAAACACCCGCTCCACCATGGCACTGTTTCACACTGGGAACACAGAAGCAAAGGTGTGCAAGGGAAGGAGAGCCGTGGGTGGAGGAGCTGGGACCAGGCTACCTTCTAGAATGGAAATGCAGTCTCTTCCCCTCTAGGCCACGCCTGCCAGGCCGACCCTCCTCCTCTCTTCACAGTTAGGCCATGACTAAGGCCAACCACAGCTGCCTCACACCTGCAGCTCAGGCCTCACACAGGGTCACAGAAGTCCCCTCCTCACTGTTCCCCCAGACAAGATCCCAGGCTACTGTTCATGGGGCCACACTCACGGTCTCTGCTTCTTCCTGGGCAGCTGGTCGGCTCCCCAGACAGACTGAGAAAACCTGAAAGGGGCCCATGGGAGCGGAACATCGCTCCCACTGACAGGCAAAGCCTGCACAGACAGCCCTGATGGTTGTTCACTCAGAGTGTGACTGGCACAGTGCTGCCCCTCACACCTGACCAGCATGGAATGCTGATATTTATCCGGTGCCACACCCAAGGGTAAGAATTCCTCCACCAACAAGGGGACAGGAAACCATTAAAATGGGATCCTCCTGCCGCCTAGGAGGCCCTGTGTACTTCACATCTGGCTTCCTGACTCTGCTCACACCCTCTTCCCAAGGTCCCCCAGTTACAGAGGTGGCAGTAAACGAGCTGCTGTCCCTATCTAATGCTTCCTGGAAACCAATTCTCTATGAAGAATTAACTCTGTCTGAAGGACAGTGAGGTTTAGTGAGATGATGGAGCTTATCCATAGTAGCAAACAAGATGAAGACATAGAAATCTAGATCAAAACAATTCCCAAGTCACCATAGACCCTTCCTCGTGGTATTAGGTTATGCTGGTGTTAGGGACCCATAAATCAACGTCCCAAGAACTCTGTGGAAGATGAACATCTAGGCCAGGGTCCAGTGAAAGAAAAACAATCAGAGGGTTTCACCAGCTGTGAGATCAAAACAGGTCAGTGTCTTCCTAGTTAGGAGCACCCGAGCCATCGAATCTAGAGAACCAGCCACAGGCCAAGAAGAGCCCATCTAAGCCGCCACGGTTATGCCTCCCTGAAGAGGGATGCTAACAGGAGCAGAGGCAGAGGATGGTGTCCCTGAAGGGCAGAGTTAGGGACCACAGTACAATACTTGCTCATTCTTTGACCACCACACACCTCACAGTTAATCCTCCCAGGAAACTGTGAGATGCTTGCTCGTGTCTTTTGGAAACTAGAAACCAATTCTCCAGACAATGTAAAGGAAGTCATGGGCTACAAGGGCCCTGGCCAGTGCCACGTGCCCAGCTGGTATCCACTGGCCTTCAGCAGCCTCAGCTCTACCACACAGAAGGTCTCCAGGTATCACCACATGACGTCAGCACCAAATGGGAAAGAAAATAGCTAGAGAAGAAGTGACTGGGTGGTGGAAAGGGTCAGTATCTAGAAAGCCAGGAATAGACAGCAAATGATTCACTGCAAAGATCTCCATGCCCTCAGAAAGCTATGGATATCGAAGAGATCGTCAGAGGAAGTTACAATCCTTCTGAAGGAGGAAGTCACAATCAGAGGGAGGTAGTAACCAGGTCTCGATAAAGCAAAAGAAAAAATGGGTAAACAAAACAAAGTACATCAGATCAGGAGAGCCACAGAATCACACAATAAAAAGTAAAAAGGCTCAGCTACCTATCTGCAGAGAAACGGTAAAGTTAAAAAAAAAAAAAAAAAAAAAAGGGACCTATCCAAATCTCAGCAATGGACAGAGCCCTGGGTCCAGAAACTTCCTTTGGCACCGGGCACAAGCCCCTCAGCTACCATGGTATGAGGGAGTACCCAAAGGTGCGCCCTGTCCTTTAGAGGGTGAGCCATACCGCCGGAGCCAGCACAGGGACTTGGCTCCACACTGGGACACATTTCAGAGCTATGGTCAGGGGAGGAACCGGAAGAGAAAGGACAGTCTGAGTTGAGGTCAGGCTGCCAGCTGCACACACATTCCTTCCCACCTCTCAAGGGTGCTGAGAACCCTGGGCTTGGGCAACCAGGGTGCCTTACGGCCTTCCTTCTGTTCCCTGGGGGTGTCTCTGCTCACTCTTGGGCAGCTGTACCAGGCCCCCTTGCCTGCTGCTCTGTGTATACTTGCTTGCCCTGTGCTTCTGGGGAATATCTGATCCCAGAAGGTCCTTAGCACTGGAGCCCGCCCCCTAAGACAAAAGGCACCCTACCCAACTCACCAAATGTTGGCCTCCCTTTCTTGTTCTGATAGAATGCAGAGGGTTAGGACCTACCATGTCAGAGGGGAAGATACGTGGGATGCTTGGAGCAGTACACAGCACCCATGAGTCTTGGGGAGGCATTTGGTAGGGGATTCCTTCTGGTGTTTTGGTTTGGCTTGGGTTTGGTTTGAGATGGTTCTAAATACAATAGCCCAGGTTTTTACCAGATCTCAGGCCTGAAGGTTGGGACTGCAACTGTGCAAGGCCACTGTTACTGAGTGTGAATAAGAACATCTCCTATGGTGGGAACTTCCAGCCTCCCGAGCACACTGGGCTCACTGAGTGAGTCCTAAGTTTTCAGGTGGCTCCAGGTACCCTTACAAGCTCATGTTCTAAAAGAAGAGGAGGCAGGCGAGTGTCAGCCCTGGTGCAAGGCACCTATCCTTCCTCTTCAATAAAGGGTCTATGTGATAAAAGCCAACCTGGGCCTAGAGAGGTCAATTGCCTCCCTAGGGATGGCCCAGAGTGAGGACCTGTACACTACCCCGAACCAAGCGGCAGCTCAGAAGACAGATTCAGCCTCTAGCATGGCAGTTCCCAGGCTCACCAGGCTTGGTCACTGTGACAACCTTCCCATCTTCCTTCCATTACCTCAGCAGTCCCTGGAAATCCTGACACCATTATGTGGGACCCACCTTGCTCTGACAAGTGACCTCTTAGGGATGGGGTCAGAAACTGGGGCAAATAGCACAGCACACGGAGGGAAGAAGCGCTGGACCTGCTTAAGCGAACATGTGAGCCACTTCGAAGCTGGCACAGTACAGTGAGCCTGGGCATGCCACAGCTTGCACGTCCCCTCTGACAGCCATGTCTTTGCCATGTTCTCTACTCAGCTGGAATCAGCATCTTTTCCTGTATGGGTCTAGGGTTCCCATGTCTGATTCACAGTATCCTACCTGGGCTCAAAAGTTGGCAACTTCCTAACGTTTGTGGGTACCACGGGCCTTGGTATCACTTACTACACCCACCCTATCTCCCCTCCCCAGCTGTCTTTTTGTCCCGCGGAGACTTATGAAGTACCTGTCGTAGAGTGCACTCTGCACACACACAGACATTTGGGCATTTGCTGGGCGAGCAGGTTGCCGTGTGTTCCCCCAAGCGTGTGGCTGACAAGAGGACAGACACCAGACAGGAAGTCAGTACACTGTGCTATGATTGGGAGGTGGGGCACATGAGTCTGAACAACTTAATCACACACCACAGGCACAAGTGTCCTGGCTAGAGTGCAGACGCCCTCTCAGGGATAAGAGACACAAACCTGAGAGGCTGGTCCTGCGTATACTATGTGTGCTCACCCAGTCCCTGGTAGTAGAATGAGTCTCGGTGGTGTTACACTCAAACCTGCTCACCCATGTTGGTCCTATAGTCTTCTTGTGAACTTCCTACAGACTCATATACAGAGCACAACACCAGACATATGCTGACAATGTGTTTCCCAGGCATGTGGCATTGCTTGATCTGGAAGGAATGAGTTCAAGTGTACAAACTGCCTGGTCTCCACTCCTAATGGTTATGTTCTGTATCAAACTCCAGAATGGAAGAAAGGTCACTCCTCTCAAGCCAGGATAGTGCCCTGACCCTCTCAATGAGCCAGAAACACAATTCTAAGAAGAAATGAGGAACTCCCACTCACAATGGTACAGGATATTAGATGCCAAGCTATAGAAAATCAAGAAGTCCCGCTCCATAGCAGCCACATCCTAAATCTGAGAGCGCAGGAAATAAGGATATGGTCATTTCCTCACACAGCACCTGATACAGAGGCACTGGCCAGGATCAGCTAATACACAAAGGTCCCACAAAAGCCTCCCATCCCAGAGACCCATCCAGACCATCTCTGAAACAGAGGCACACAGCCAGACCCTACAGCAGCATGATATTCTGTGGCCCCAATATTCACTTGTTCCTCCTACCTCCATTGTACCTGGTACCCTCCACACATCCTGCTCCCTCCTCTCTCTCAAACTGGGACTCCCTGAGGCTCCTTTCCTATGCTGCTCCCTCCTACATTACCCTCTGGACTCTCACACACTCCTGGAATAGCACCCGCTTCCAATGATGTTCTCTTCTACCAAGCAGTCGATACTCAAAGAGGCGGGGCCAGCCCTTGACTTTGGCTCTGGCCACCTGAAGAGGGGATACTGGCTAGAGACACTTGCTCAGACAAAATGCCTAAAGCTCACACCCTGGGTGTGGCTGGGTAACCTTGGACAAGTCACCCAAGTTCTGTATGCCTCGGTTTACT